AGGAGGAGGAGGAGGAGGAGGAGGAGGAGGAGGAGGAGGAGGGGGAGGAGGGGCACGAGGAGGAGGAGGAGGAGGAGGAGGAGGAGCGAGGAGGAGGAGGAGGGAGCGCAGGAGGAGGAGGAGGAGGCAGGTGGAGGAGGAGGAGAGGAGGAGGAGGGGGAGGAGGAGGAGGAGGAGGAGGAGGAGGAGGAGGAGGGGAAAAGGAGTAAGAAAGGGGGAGGAGGAGGGGCGGGGGTTCGGTGCGACCGACATGGGTACGGAAAGAGTGGGCACGAAGACGAGCTGCATGTCCTGCTCATTTTGAACTGGACTCGCTGTCCGCGCCGTCGCGGGCCTTGTTCATCTGAGACAGAAGGCCGCCTGCCCAACATTGGCCGCTGTCAACATTTGTTGTTGGGAATCGTGCCTATTTATACGTACCCATGTCGGGGTGTCCACAAGGGTGGGGGGGGCGCAGCAGGTGCGGTCGGAGGGTCGCGCCGCATCGCCGATGCATCGGCGATCGAGGCGCGGTCCCCAGAACACAAAGTCACGGCGGGAGGTTTTTCGCTATGTTCGGCTTTGGGGGTCCTTTATTGGGCGTCGGGACCATCAAAGAACGATTCGAGGTGAAAACTTGGTCCTGGGAAGTGGGTCGGGACCTCTGGGGATCGACGTTATGAAAAATCATGACGTCGGCGGCGCAGGTCTGAAGCCAGTTTTTTGTTGTACAGCTGTTGCCGATGCGTCGCCAGTGCGGCGCGGTCTTGCGACTCTATGCGTTCCGGCCCCACATGTGCGGAATCCCCAGCGGAGGGGGGGCGCGAGGAAGGTCGAACATTGCCCTCGGGACTGCTTTTTCACAATTCTCTGCCTCCAGGAACCCGCGTCGGGCCCCCGGGCCAGCAGAAATCAGTCCGGGTGTGAAAGCCAGCAGCGATGGGCACTGGGAAGGGCTGCTGGAGCGTAGGCTTAAGTCGGGCCTGTCCCCCTACGGGAGGAATATTCAAAAATTGAATTTTTCTATCGAACAATATTTTTGAGAAAATACATAAAATAATAATGAAAAACACGTCGGGGGGCGATTGTTCTATTATGTTGTTTTTTGCTGTTGTCTTGATATGTTTGGCGAATGTGTTCTAGTTCCCCACATTCTGAGTGGGGTTCTTGTTTTCCCAGAGCATACTCTCCTTCTCCCTCCCGCCTCCTGCCTCCCACCCCTCCAGGGAGGCCCCGTCTGAGCGAGGAGGGTATCGGAAACACATACTATTTACATGGTTTCGTGCCCCTCCCACCCCTCCAGGGAGGCCCCGCCTGAGCGAGGAGGGTATCGGAAACCCATACTCTTTACATGGTTTCGTGCGCCTCCCTCCCCTCCAGGGAGGCCCCGTCTGAGCGAGGAGGATGTCGGGCCCGTACTATTTACATGGTTTCGTGCCCCTTCCACCTCTCCAGGGAGGCCCCGCCTGAGCGAGGAGGGTATCGGAAACACATACTATTTACATGGTTTCGTGCTCCCACCACCCCTCCAGGGAGGCCCCGCCTGAGCGAGGAGGGTATCGGAAACACATACTATTTACATGGTTTCGTGCCCCTCCCACCCCTCCAGGGAGGCCCCGCCTGAGCGAGGAGGGTATCGGAAACCCATACTATTTACATGGTTTCGTGCGCCTCCCTCCCCTCCAGGGAGGCCCCGTCTGAGCGAGGAAGGTGTCGGAAACCCATACTCTTTACATGGTTTCGTGCGCCTCCCTCCCCTCCAGGGAGGCCCCGTCTGAGCGAGGAGGATGTCGGGCCCGTACTATTTACATGGTTTCGTGCCCCTTCCACCTCTCCAGGGAGGCCCCGCCTGAGCGAGGAGGGTATCGGAAACCAATACTAATTACATGGTTTCGTGCTCCTCCCACCCTTCCAGGGAGGCCCCGCCTGAGCGAGGAGGGTATCGGAAACCAATACTATTTACATGGTTTCGTGCTCCGCCCACCCCTCCAGAGAGGTCTCGCCTGAGCGAGGAGGGCATGGGAAACCCATACTATTTACATGGTTTCGTGCCCTGCCCACCTCTCCAGGGAGGCCCCGCCTGAGCGAGGAGGGCATCGGAACCCAATACTAATTACATGGTTTCGTGCCCCTCCCTCCCCTCCAGGGAGGCCCCGCCTGAGCGAGGAGGGTATCGGAAACCCATACTATTTACATGGTTTCGTGCTCCCACCACCCCTCCAGAGAGGCCCCGCCTGAGCGAGGAGGGCATCGGAAACCCAATACTAATTACATGGTTTCGTGCCCCTCCCACCCCTCCAGGGAGGCCCCGTCTGAGCGAGGAGGGCATCGGAAACCAATACTATTTATATACATGGTTTCGTGCCCCTCCCACCCCTCCAGGGAGGCCCCGCCTGAGCGAGGAGGGTATCGGAAACCTATACTATTTACAAGGTTTCGTGCCCTCCCCACCCCTCCAGGGAGGCCCCGCCTGAGCGAGGAGGGCATCGGAAACCAACACTATTTACATGGTTTCGTGCCCCTCCCACCCCTCCAGGGAGGCCCCGCCTGAGCGAGGAGGGTATCGGAAAGCCATACTATTTACAAGGCGTCGTTTCCTGAGCACCTGTCCTCCCTCCTCCTTTCTTTCGTCTGCCCTTTCGTGCGTACTTACTCGTTCGATGAGCTTCTCATTCGTGTTGATGTTGTCGTACCCCATGGGTCCCACGAAACCGTTAATATCTTTATGTGGGGAACTCCGTTCGCATAATTTGGGATTTTCATCCAAAATCCCACTGTGGGGGGACATGCCCGACCTAAGGCGGTCAGGATGGGCACCGGGAGGGGTTGCTGTAGCCTAGGCCCGCCTCCAGCCGAGTGTCGCGAGCGGCCTTTGAAGCTACTGGCAGGGGGCCAAGGAGAAGGAGGAGCAGGAGAAGGAGAAGGAGGAGGAGGAGGAGAATGAGGAGGAGGAGGAGGAGGAGGAGGAGGGGAGGAGGAGCAGGAGCAGGAGGAGGAGGAGGAGGAAGAAGAAGAAGAAGAAAAGGAAGAAGAAGAAGACGAGGAGGAGGAGGAGGAGGAGGGGGGGAGAGGAGGGGGGGGAGGAGGGGGAGAAGGGGAAGGAGGGGAACGAGGGGGAGGGGAAGGGGGGGGGGAGGAGGAGGAGGAGGAGGAGGAGGAGGGGAGGAGGAGGAGGGAGGAGGGAGGAGGAGGAGGAGGAAGAGAGAGGAGGAGGAGGAGGATCGATGGCGACTGCGATGCGGGCTCGCGAGGGCGAGCGAGGGCGACGGAGGAACGACCAGTGTGGCAGCCCGCCGATGGCCTCGCCCCCTCCCACCCCCTCACCCCCAGGCGGCGGGGGCACCAGCGAGACTTCGTTCTCCGCGCTGCGTCTCGAGGGCCTTCCCGCGAGCGGCTCTCGGCAAATCGGAGGAGGGCGAGCCGAGACAACCGCAGTGGGCCTTCGGGGGGGGGGCCTTCGTCCCCAGCGCTCGGAGAGCTGTTGCGTCTGGACCCTGGTAGGACCCCGGGGACCGAATTTGAGTTGCCGCTGTCACAACTCACCCTGCTCCGAGCGATGCCAGGGCGCAGCGGTCGGCGCGATGGGCGTCGGCGAGGGAAGACAGGCCAGCCTGAATTTGATAGCGATCCACCCGACAAGGGCGCCACTTAGAATCGAATTCGTTTCGCCCGCGCTCACGAGTGGTGTGCCCCGGACTTGGCTACTGCACTTGCGACGAGAAACAGAGGGCGCCTCGTCGTCCTCATCGTCCTCGTCGTCGTCGTTGTCGTTGTCGTCGTCGTCACAGTCGTGATCGCCGTCGCCGCCCTCCCCTTCCCCGCACCCCCGAGCGCCCGAGCAGTGGCCCGGACAGTCTGTTTTCGAGCTCGAGGAAAAATGGCGTACTGCTGGGTCGTGTCGTGTCGACCTGTTCTTGTCGACTGGCGGCCTAGAATCGGTCGATGTTGAACGATCCTGACCTTCGGGAACGGCTGGCTGATCGTTCAAGGTTGAACGGTCCTCGCGGTGTCGGGAACCAACGCCGGGGTCGACACGACACGGACTTGCCGTAGCGCTTCGCGCCGCCGGTTCTGGGCCACCACGATTCGGCGCGACACGTCATCCACATCCCAGTCCCTGAGCGTCAACGTATCGAATCTGTATTGGACTCCCAGATCTTCAGGGCAAATCTATACCATATTATAACGTTCGTCCCCTTCTCCCCCGTGATCCTGCTCAACTTGCTCGCCATCTGTTAAGCCACCTCGTACGACGAGTCCAAGGCGTGACTTAGTATTGTGATGAGCTCCCCATGTCACTCGTAGTCTCATTAGTGACGAGGGTCACATTTAAATGTTGGACTGGCTCGAACAATCCGAGGTCGTCGGGGAAAGATCCAGCGGGATATGCCCGCAATAAGGATGGATGAGACGTAGAAAAGCCAAGTAAGCACCCATCCTCCATCATCCCCGTCCTTGTGATGAGCGCTTTGTCATTGCGAAGGCAGTGCGACGGACAGCGAACAAGGTCGTCGTTTTGTGATGTCGGGGCATGGCATACATGGATCCACCACCAGCAGCAGCGTCCGCGCCCAATGGGACACTCGTGGTTGAGGCATCCTCCACTAGGAGGAGGCGAATGGCTGCTACGACATGCACCACCAGGATGAGCCTGACCTGGGCAGTTTTGATCTTCCTGATGCTGTTGCCCTGCGCCGACAGCGTCAAGACGGGCCTCAACGTGACCTCAGAGTGCTTCAATGCGACGGTCACCAAGGGCCTGACAACATGCACAATTTCTAGGAGTCAATCTTACTTGGGGGGGAGTTTGGTGGCTAGCATGTTTCACAATCTAGTTTTTTGGGGAATACTTGTCATGTGCCTGGGGCTCGTTTGCATGTGGCAGGTTTGGAGCACCAGGTCGGACCGTCAGCCTGCTCCACAATATGACTCTTCATTATACCACTACGTCCTGATCGGCGCAAAGCGGTCCATTTTAAGAGCGCGCCGGGTAGGACCTACCCGCTGCCGTGGTCCTCGAGGGCGAGGTGTCCACGGAGATCGTCGGCGAGGCTATCTTCGGCGACCTGGTTGTCTTCTGCTTCCTGGTGCTGGATCCCTCCAGTTTCGGAGGCGGTTCATCGTTCCCCCTCCGGCGCCGGTTGCGCCAGGGATCCACCGATTGGTTCATGACACCGCGCGCCTGCGCCTGGGACAGGAGCAGCAACTGCGGCTTGACGGCCAGTACGACCACGCAGCACCAGACGATACATATCTTACAAATTCGTATCCTGCAGGTGGTCCCCCCTGGAAGCGCGTGCGACACGCTGCACGTGGATGCTTACACCTGGGTGGAGTGTTTCTTCATCCGGGACGGCTACTTCTTGACCTGGGCAGCGTTCTTCTTCATCCAGGCCAGTTTATTTTGCGACATCTTCGGCATTTTGTGCGTGCGTGTTCTCACCTGGGTGACGTTCTTGTTCATCCAGGTCGGCTTCTTCTTTCTCTGGGTGGTGCGCTCTTTCATCCAGGTCTGCTCCTTGTCCGGCACCGTCAGCATCTAGTGTGTGGATGTGTTCATTTGGGTGGGGTTCTTCTTCATCCGGGGCTTCTTCATCTGGCTGGCGTGCTTCCTCACCCAGGTCGAGCGCTTTGGCGGCGCCTTCGACATGTCCCATACGCTGATCCCCACGCTGAGCCACGGCCGGATGTTCGACAATCTGGTCCGCTGGGCTCCCAGCTCCGCGGCGGAGGCGGCAGCCCACAGCCACGCCCTCGTCCCCAGCACGGTGGAGGCGTCGGCTCGGCCCCCAGAATCGTGCCCGCAAGCAGGAGGAACGTGCGCTGCTCGAGGGCCTGCAGGCTCTGGTATCGCAATTTTCATCGTCGCCTTCCGTTCCGGCGCGGCAACGGCAAGCCCACGAGCGTCAAGGAGAAGCGTCGCCTCGCTAAGCGCCAGCCCACGCGAACGATAGGTTCCTCGGCGCACTCCAGCGGATCGTCACCAGGCCAGGCCGCCATCAACGGCAAGCTCGACGGCCAATCGAACCAGCAGAGGCCGAAGGCGTCGGCTCAGCCCGCGCACAAGGCCAAGGCTAAAAAGCAGCAGCAGCCCCACGTGCACCGCGGAAGCCTGCTGCTCATGCTCCTCCAGCCGACCCGACGCTGGGGTCTTCCGCTTTCTCTCCGTCTTCACCTGCCCCTGCGAGGTCTGTCGCAACTTTCGTGCCATCGATTTTGCACGCAGAACACTGGCATGGGGAGCTGGTCGACGACACCGACGCCATTTTCCAGGTGAGCGATACGGAACACATTGTCTTACGAGGGGTGGTGCGACGCCTGCTCGACGGGATTGAGTCTTTCGCTATCGCCAGGTGGAGGGGGCAGTCGCTGTGCGAGCTGCCGCCCTCAAGTGTACCGCGCAGGCTGCGAAGGCCCCGCCGCCTGCTTCAAAAGCCTCGCGGGTAATCCCGGTGGCACGCTTCCGGGCGCACGTTTCAGAGGAGGAGTGGGCTGACCGGACACGCAGCATCAAATTTGCCGTGCAACAGTGGTTGGGCCAGCTTCGGGTACCCAAGACAGGCATCATCGACGTCTTCGGCGCTAAGAAGTCGGAGGACGGTCCATTACTAGCGTGACCGTCAGGACCTCTGAGCAGCAGGAAACGTTGGTGGACCACGCCAGCGGGGTCAATGCGCTTTTGGCGCGATTGCTACCCGCTGACCCTGCGACCACTCCCACCCTAGGGAGTGCACGCTGGCTGAAGAAGAAGGACGACGAGAACGGCATCGCCTTCATCAAGCGGTGCCGCGCTGAAGCTGAACAGGCTGAACCGTGCTTGGGGCTCGCCTTCTCGAACACTGGTTCGGTCGGTATCCGCAGCCCAGATGGGCAAGTCGCCGCTGCCTGGCGCGTCGCCGGCTTCCCGAAGACCTTGTCTGTTCAGAAATTCGCGGACTGGCTCGGGTAGAACGGCTGGCCGGCCATCGATGTCAGCACGGTGCGTCGCCGCGTCGCCAACGGCAAGGCCACGTTCCTTTTCCGCGGTGTGAACCCCGGCGGGCCTCACACATACGTTATGGTGTCGCTTATTCATATGTTATATACCCCGGCGGGCCTAACGCACCAACCACTGCGGAGACAATTGCGGGAGGTGTTTCTGTTTTCCTGGACATGGAGCCGTACAGGCCCCCTGCCAAGCAGAAGCCGTTCCGGAGCCTCCGCGACGGCGAGCTCCAGTGGAATTTTCCAGCCGCATCACAGGGTTCAGGCTCCAAGGTCGAGGCTTCCAACGTCTCCACCAAGGAGGTCGCCCCTGCCAAAGCGGGTCCGGTTTTCTCGGGATGCGCCTGCCGCATGGCAGCCGCCGCCACCGACGCCCACTGAAGAAGTATTCGATTCTTTGGGACTTAGTGTGCAAGAGGTGCCACATGATGGGGCGTGCGCATTCCACACCCTCGCGCACTGGTTCAGACGAGCAGGCAAACCCACCACCTGCCCGGCCGCCTCGCGGTCTCAGACCGTCGAGCGCTTGACCGAGAAGGGCGCGACCTTCGAGCCGTTCTGGGACCGTATATTGGACCTAACGGCCGTGCTTGTGCCTCCTGGGCTGCTTATTTGAAGGCAATGCAGCGGCCATATGCGTGGGCAGGCGAATTGGACCTCCTGGCCGCCACCGACAAGTGGGCCCTCACGATCACTGTGGTCCGCCCTGGAGCTCCGACCATCAGGATCTACTCTGGCAAGGGCCACATTTGGTTATCATGTCGCACCGAGCATTATGAACCGCTGGAGCCAAGAGCCAACCCGGCTCATGCAGCCGCTCGGCGACAACATTGTGAAAATGAACATATTCGGTTGACCCTCTCAGGGTCCGCTCCGGCCGACCATCGCGAATGGGAGCTGAAGGGCGGCGGCCGCGCCGCGAGCTCTGCGGCAGGCACCCTGCGCAGTGGCCGGAGTAATGTTGCCAAGACGTCGGCGGCCCGCAGTGCTTCGTCGGCAATTCTACAAGCAAGGTCTACGCGCGCACATGGTCTGCGCGCGCGGCCTACCAAACCGCATGTATGCCCTGCGCACCAGCATCCCTTGGTGGACACACCCTGGATCGCATGAGCATGTCGTCTGCTACTTTGCGGGCGCCGTCGACGACTGGGAGGACCTCGCGGAGGCCGGCGTCTTCCCCTCGCTCTTATTTCGGAGGAACGTTGTTGGAGGAGCTGGAGGGCCAGGGGACGCTGGAGGAGCAGGAGGAGCTGCACTACCTCATCGTTCTGGTGTTTTGATTGCGCCTTTCAGGACCCGTGCGCCATCGACGCTGTTCCGGAAGCAGGCCGTGGCCTGCGCGAAGCAGTGCGTCATCAGAACGCCTCTGGCCTTGCGCCGGCGCGCAAGCGCCCGGCGGCAGCTGTTGCGTCTCGGAGCTCTCTTCCCGAGCATGCTCCAAACCAGTGGATCGCGAAGGCGACCGAAGAAGCTGCCTGGCTGCGCGCGGCATCTCGGACGCATTCGTGGCTGCGTTCTCCTGAGCTTCAACCGCGCGGAGTTCGGTGTACCAAGTGTCGCCGGGAGCTCGTGGGGCCTGTCTCCCAGGCCAACCCGGCCAGGTTCTGCCGAGGTGTTTTATGCCAGAGCTCTGCGTCCGCCACACCTCAGGCTGAGCGCGTCGCAGCACTTGCCCAGGCAAATTTTCTCCCTCCTCGGGCGCAGCGCCGAGCAGCTTCCCGGGGCCAGCTGAACCACAAGAAAGTAACGACGCTGCCTGATGGTCAGTGGCAGTGCCCCCTTTGCCCCTGCAACTTGACCAGCGCCACTGGCAACCACGCGTACCAACGTCGTCAACATCTTCTGGCTCATGGCGCTCCTGGTCGTGAAGTTCTCGCCGAGGGCCGGTCCACCAGGACGGGAGGGGAGGCGAAGAGGCTCGCCACCACGGTTTTCATCGAGAAGCGGGCGCAGACCAGGAGCAACGACTTCGTTGAGAAGGTCACGCTGATTTGTGCTGCTTTGCCACGCTGGGCCTGCCAGATTGCGGCCTTCCCCCGGGAGCAGGCGCATGCCGGCCAGCGACGGACTCAGACGGACTGGAGTGCACTGTCTGCGGCTACCAGTGCACCGCGTTGCCCAAGTTCCTGAAGAACACCACCCCGTGTGCAGCAGCGCTTTCAGACGCTCTCGAAGAGGCTGCCGCTCTGACGGTCACGGCCAGGCGCGCTGCCTTTCAGACTGCGGCGACTGACGCCAAGGCCCAGGACCGCGAGCGCCGGAGGCAGCGCAAGCGCAGCACGTCGGCACCGCGACCTCTGCTAAGGCCAAGTCTTCGCTCAAGATCTTGACCTTCAACATTGGGAGCTACACCTCCCGGAGGGCCAGCCTTCTGGCCTTGATCGCTGAACATGTTCCTCACGTGTGTGTATTACAGGAATGTTTTTTAACCAATGGACAGCGCCATATCTTGCGAAACGATCTTCGTACGCTTGGTTTCTATATTTGTGTCGGCCCGGGCGGGCTGTGCACCATTGTCCGGGACGGCCTCAACGCAGCTCCGGTTGGTAATGCGCCTGGCGACGAGGGCTTCCGGGTCCAACGATTTGCTTTACAGTTTGGCGAACATCGTGTTCTTCTTCGACATCGCCACGCTCATTCCGGCTCTGCTCAACAGCGGCAGGTTTTGGATGCCAATCTTCACGCTGAGCGACTTGGCGCAGGGTCTGTGTTTCCTGCTGTACCCACGTACCGGCTGAACAAGCAATTGGAAAATTGGGTGACTACCATTGACGGCGCCGTGGTCGCCACGCGCCTTGCCGCGGCAGCTTCGGCAAGCGCCCTCCCGCCAGCGGCTGCTTCCCAACACAGGCCAGTTCTTCTTGAATTTGCTCTGGCCCCAGAGTTTCACGAGGCATTTCGTTGGGCAGTGGGCGAGCCTATCGCTATGGGGGCTTGGCCCCAGCACCAAAAGGACGAGTTCGACACGTCCCTCGCGACGGACATCGACAGTGCCTGGGCTGCCTGGGCCGCCTCCGGTGTCCCGGAGGTTCGGGCCGGACGAAAGGGGGGGATTGGGAAAGGGGGGGCTACGAAATTTGCTGCATGCAGCTGGTTTCGGACTCACCGAGGGGCCCATTCCTCGTTACATAGTCGCCTCCGGCGCTGGGAGGCGCCGGGAAAATCAGCTACGTGAGCTGATTCTCAAACCCCCCCTTTGCTATCCCCCCCTTTCGCCCGACCCGAGAGGCCCGTGTATTTCGTCAAGTTTCGGGGGGAGGGTGGCGTGCTGGGGCAAGAGCCTTTGGAGCTCCGCGGCCTCTGCAAGACTTCTCGGCGCCAGCTGCGCGACGGGAGGCCCGACGACGCCGAGAACACCTTGGGCGTGATCGCCTCCCTCATCGGCGATGCCAACAGCGCCGCACTCTCGTCGTGGCGCGAGCCCGTCTCGACCAGGGGCGGCGCGACACGATGGGTTAAGAGGCGTCTGGAGTCTATGCGTGCCGCTGTTCTTCCAGCTTTCGGTGCAGTTGTCTTCTGCTCGTGAACTTGCCCGTCGTCTTGGCTTGGGGCTCGCCGAGCGGTGGAATGCTGGCGTGCATCAGATATCACATCAGCCTGGGTTTCGCGTTGGTTTGGAACGAGTTTCAATACCGTCCGGCCTACTTGTCGAAAAACGTGCCCCCCCTGGGCGTGTTCACCGGCAGGAGTTCGATTTCGCTGTCTTGCCGGGGGCCCGTGCCTACCAGGCGCCTGGGCCATGGCAGCCAGAGCACATCCTTGCTTACCTACCTGATGGCGTTTGTGGGCTTGAAGGTCATGGCGCGGCGTGGTTCGAACGGCTGCAC